CCTTGTTAGAAAAATAAAACTGTTTTAGCTGAAAATGACTCCTATCTTGCCAAAATTTGTATCTATATCCCCTAGTCCTACTATTCTTGCTGTTAAATATGAAAAAAGATGATGCATCAACACTCAATTCCCTTTACAATCTTAAACATCTTCAATCAGATCCCCCCTAACTCTTCTTTTTTTTTAACAGAAAACAATTTTAGAGATCTTAATCTTTCCTCATATCATAGCCCCTCCATCCCAGGGATCATTCTAGTAATCTTCTTCTGAACCCTTCCCAACAATTCAGTGCCCTTCCTAAAGTAAGGAGACCAAGACTGAACACAATACTCCACGTGTGGCCGAACCAGTGACCTATACAATGAAATTATAATCTCTTTGGACTTGTATTCAATATTTCTGTGGATACATCCTAAAATCCTATTTTCCCTACCACTAGCAACTAGCTTAAAAGACTGATCAACCATTACACCAAGATCCCTTTCTTTCATGGCACTGTTAAGGTTATTCCCACCCAAATTATACTTATAATCTAGATTATGATAACCCACATGCATTATCTTGCATTTATTATAATTAAAACCCATTTGCCATTTATTTACCCAACTCACTAAATGATCTAAATCATTTTGTAAATCAGCAGCATCCTCTTCACAGCTAGCAACACCCAAGACCTTAATGTCATCTACAAATTTAAGTAATTTATTGACCATTCCTTCATCTGTGTCATTGATGTAAATCAAAAAGAGCAAAGGTTCTAAGACTAAGCCCTGTGGTACCCCATTTGTGACATTAATCCACTTTGACTGAACTCCATTTGTAACAACCCTCTGCTTTCTTCCATCCAGCTACTCTTCTATCGAATTTGCTAACATATCCTCCCCACACCGATAGAGATATTATTTTACAAGCCATTTATGTGGCACCTTGTTAATCAAATGCTTTTTGAAAATCCAGATACACCAAACCTACACCCTTACCCTCATCTACATAAGCAGTAACCTTTTCAAAGAAGTCAAAAAATTTGTAAGGTAAGATTTTCACTTAGTGAAACCATGTTGACAATCCAATAAAATTCTAAACTTTGATAAATGACTTTGCAAAGCATCATCTTTTATCAGACTTACCAAAACTTTTCTCACAACTGATGTACGTCTAGTAGGCCTATAATTTTTATTACCTCTCTTGAAGATATATTAGTTAACTTCCAATCCTCTGGTACCTGTCCACTATTCAAGGACTGACAAAAAATAGTAGCAAGTGACTCACATATCCAATCCTTAACTGCCTTCAAAACCCTTGTGGAAATATTATATGGCCGAGGAGCGTTATTATTTTTAAACTTCCCAATTTTTTCTTAACAAGCTCAGAATTAATGCAATCTTGTTGTCAAACCTTTTTGTTATCTATCAACTTTTCAAGGCGAGAAATACTGTTTAACCCTATTACCATGAATACCTTTTACTGCACGTGACACTAGGTTTTAGTGTCTTACATTCAAAATTTTATTAAACTACTTTTTGTTTATGTTATAACAATTAAAATAGCATAAAGTCTTAGCTAATAATCCATATTTTCATAGTATATAAGTTTTAAGTTCTTAATTATACAAGGCAATATTTTTAAAATCCTGAATTTCTCCTATTGTGACACATTTTCTCTAGGTATCTTCTCTCTGTTTCATCCACCACCCCTCCAGTAGCTACGAAATTAAACGTAAATTACTCACTATAAAATCATCATTGCTCAAACAATCCATAATTTTTATAGCCTTCAATTTTTACTAGGTTACAGAGCTCTCAAATAGAAAATCATACCCCTCCTGCCACATCCTTTCTTTCAGAATTTGTTAATAGTTCTCTCTTACATTTAATTATATATTGCCTATAACCAATAGGAAGCCAAGGTTTTCATCTCTCAAATGACGTATTATATTACTTTGTGTTCTGAACAGAAAATCGTCAACTTCACTTGTATTACAGGCTTCTTTCCCACAGGAAAGGAAACAACTAGTTTGGATGAATTTGTAATGGCTCATGTTACATAGCTAGAAAGCCAGAACATTTTTGATTGTCAGAGAAAATTGTATGCTTTTTCATGTTATTAGTCTATGTTCTTTGCTACATTATTTAATTAAATAGAAATTATTTAATGCACTACTACCATTAGTATAAGAAAAGTGGTCAGTCAGATTGTTCGAGCCTGTGTTGAGAGAGTTAAAAGGGCTCCCACTGAGAAAGGTTTAAGTGTTAATATTTGTGATAAGAAAATCTACAATTTCTTGTTGTCATATTCCATCTGTATAACCAAATAAATTGAGTATTTGAGTGTATAAGTACATCAAAGTTTGATGTGTGCACATTATAACTATCAATTTTCAGGTATCTGAAAGAGATATATTGAGCATATTTTTTCTTGCTAGGATAGTACAGTTCTGCACATACAGTTATCTTCAAAGACTAAAAAAATATGAAAGGTACTACAACTTGCTGATCACAATCTAAATAACTTCCTGTGATAATATATCTTAAGAATGATAATTTTACATTCCATTTCAGGGGCAGATGTGGTTCATTGGCTTTTCAATCATGTTCAGGGATTCCAAGAACGCAGAGAAGCTCGTAAATATGCCATCCAAATGCTGAAGGCTGGTTTTATTCGCCATACAGTCAACAAAATTACTTTTTCAGAACAGTGTTATTATGTTTTTGGAGATCTTTGCAACAGTAAGTATAATATAATTTTGGTTTAACTCTTTCAGCACAGGCTCAGTCCTTGGGACTGACCTCATAACCATTTTGTGCATGTTATAGTTTTCATGCTATAACTTTTAAATTAGTAAGTGTATATTAATGAAATTTAGCAGATTATCAGTAAATATTACTATCCTTTCATATGCTAAATATCAATTTTTTTTTATTAAGTCTTAAGGTTTGAAAAGCAATGTTTTTGTCATGCCTTTTTTTTTCACATGTTGCTTATCCAACATGCAAAGTAATTTTCATTTTAAGATAAAAAATACTTGTGTGCATCAGATAATTTTCAAATTTCACATTCAAAATCTTTATAACGTCCAGATAGTTATCAAACATTTCTTAAGAAAAACTATGTATTTTATCTGTTATTTTCATTAACAAATCTCTGTGTTTGGTCGATTTGACCGATCTCAAAACCATGTTAAAAAAATTAGGAAATGAATATAAATTATGCCTTTATTTGTTCTAGAATGACTACAAATTATAACACGAAAACATAAATGTTTAGACTAAATAGCTTAAATCTCATAACATTATATATTTATATATATATATATTTTATTATGTTGACCTAGGTATTATATATACAGTTGAATAACCAAAACATTTTAAATTACTATACCGATACCATAGAATTCCACTATAATGTATCAAGCTTATTAACTAAGCTCTATTCAAAATTTAAAAAAATATTAAATTTTGAGCAGACTAAAGACACAATCTACCTCCTTGAAATCTTGCTTTGAAAGAAAGAGTTGGTGACCATACAAGTTAAAATGGCTGAGAAAGCCACTAGTGGGACATTATGAGCTTTCAGTTGATTATTCATGTCATAGGTAAAAGTAAGTGTAAATAAGGGAGCATTTCCAAAAATGGAAAGAGATGGGTGGGGTGCCACTGTGTTTGATTTATTACATGAGCAATATCTTAGCAAATTGGAAAGATAAGAGGTTCTTATTTTATATTCTAGCTTGTCAATATCGGTAGTGTGAGTTCCTAATTTGTACGAAACTATAGACTTAGTATTTTGACATCATAAATATCTAATTTGAACCAATACTGCATTTAACATACGACATGACACTCAAAAATCGATGTTTAACTGTTT